AGACCCTCCCTCCTCCTCCTCACCTACCGCCGCCCCCTCCCCTGTTTCCCGCGGGGAGGATAAATTCGAACAACAACTAGGTGCCCCCCACCCCGGCCATGCGCCCGCACGGACTGCTCTGCCCTTCGGGAATGCCTCCCTCGGGGCTTCGCTTGCTCTCTGCCCCCCTTCCTCCTTGTTTTGGGGTTGTTTTGGTTGGTTTTTTTCCCTTTTTCTCACCCGTCATTCGCTACGGAGAGGGAGAGCAGGAGGAAGCCCTCCCCGAGGAGCGTGGATGTTGCGGGGGGGAATCACCACCGTCCGTCCGTAAGGGTGTAGGTAGAAGGCGTTTCATCTTCCCGCGCATCGGCTTCATCTTTGCGCCGGGATGCTGGCGGGGCTCAGAGGAGCAGGATGCTGCGCCGTGCGGGGTCAAGCTCGCTGGCGTTGCGTGCCCGCTCGCCAGCCGAATGAATGCCTGCCGGCGCTTCGGTATTTATAATAAGCCGAAATCTAGCTAGTGGTGCTTGAATCCCTGTACTGTAAAGCTGGTCTTGCAATTCAGGCTCTTTTCCCAAGAGGTTGAGAGGTGGGCACTGCGAAGGAGCCTCTGCCAGCCCCGTCTGCCGGCCCCGGTGGCCCGCGGCAAGCAAGCAGATGTTCCCGTTGGAAAACCATCAGCGTACTCTCCTTGGCAACCCTCGCTGTGTCTTCCTTCCCCATGGCGGGTTTTCCTCCCCGATAGGCGAAAGCACAACCAGGGCCGGCATCGCGTCTCGGGGTATCGCCAGTCTGCTGCCCGTTCGGTTTTGGGGAGCCGGGCTCTGGCGTGCACTTTCTGCTAATCCCAGCAGGAGCCGGATGTCCCCGGGAGCGCTCGGAGCTCAGGACCGGCGGGAGGGTGGCTCTGGCCACCCAGGATGGAGGAGCGGGACACTGCTGTTTCTCGGCAGCATCAGCCCAGAATAGTGCCTTAACGATTTGTATAAACCCCTGACCAACGGGTGAGCTCCAGGTTGGGTCCCGTTGGAAGGTTTAGTGCTAAAGCAAGACCCTGTTCAGCCTGATGACCATGTCCCATCCTCCAGCTTGTTGCCCGTGTCGCTCTCCCAAGCTTTACCTCTCCCCCGTGGGGTTGGCAGCCGTTGCCCTGCCCTGGCCTGGGGGGACCAGAGGGGACCAGTGAGGGCTGTGGTCGGTTTGGTGACACCCCGTGGCGTTGGTTAGTGCTTCTCTGACCATGTTGTGCTTGTCGAAGTTGAGCTGGTCTTTGGCTTCACTTATTCAGGCTGGCTTCATGCTGGCAGAGGAGGAGGAGAAGAGGAAGGCTGTGCTGTAACCTTTTTGTTGGACGCTGCGGTCCAAGCTGGGTCTCTCACTGCTATGCTCTGCCCCGGGGTGTCATGCGTTGACCTGTCCGTGGCTGTGTGGTCTCCCTGCCGAGGGGAGTGTCCCTTCTGGGGCCGGGGAGAGCTGGGAGCGCTTCAGGGGCTGCAGAGCACCCAGCACGGGCAGAGATGTGCCGGCCCAGAGGTGGGGTGCGTCGCAGCTGATGCCCTGCTCCCAAGGCCAGCACTGTGGGGGCCTGTGGACGTGGGTAAGGTCACAGAGGAGGCGGTGAGCAGGGCTGCTGGTAGGAGATGGAGCAGGCTGCAGGAGCCCTTTCCCGTTTCCACCTCAGTCTGGGCAGGGTGCTGGGGAGAGTGAGCCACATCGGGCTCTGCAAAAAGTCTCGGTGCTCTGTTTACTGGGCAAAATCAGCAAAGCATTTGGGCAGCGTTGTGGCTGCCCCTGCAGAGCTGGGAGGATTCAGCACGTGCTCAGGAGCTTTGCTGACCAGGGACATGCAGGAGCGTTAGGCTGGTAGGGACGGGGCAGGGGAGCACCCGCTGTTCTCCCGAGTGCAGTTTGAGGTGGCGTGTTAGGTGACTGATGTCTCCTCCTGCCGAGTGGTGCCCCTCATGTCTGATGCCTCTTGGCAAGCTGGTTGCTCTTGTGGATGTCAGCATGTTGAAGCAACAAATTGCTTTTCATCCTCATGTTGGCTGGGATCCGGTGGACCCCCAGCACCACAATCAGTACCAGTGAGCTCATCTTTGCCTCCATCTGGTTTGAGCAAAGGGAGGATGCTATGGCAGAGCTGCCTCGCCGTATTGACCTTCTCAGATAGGTACCAAAGGCTTCTGCACTTTCCTTCCTCCATGACCGTGGGACTTATTGGCATGGTGCAACGCCTTCTCAGACACACAGCTGTGAGGGATGTGAGCACTCAGCTCTCAGGGCCATTGGCTTTCTGAAGGGACCATGACTCAGACTGGAAGACAATTGCTTTAGAGAAGCCTTCAGTGATACCTTGGAGGTGTTGGAGGGTCTCAGTAGAGTGTTCCATGCTGCCTCCTCCTCCGCTGCCTCCTAGACCCCATCCCCTCGGGCTCCCTTGCATTTCTTTCCCCTCATATAGCCTTGACATGTGATGGGAGTACTGCACCCTAAGGAGGACTCACCTTGCCTGTAGGATCCTCTGTGATGGAGCCCATCAGCCTGCCTGGCTGGTAGACTTCTCCCCCCAAGCAAACCCCCACACCAACCTGTGCTCCCTTGTACCTGGAGGTGGCTTTCCCTGTCCCTGTCCTGGTTCATCCTCTCCTGGTGAGGACTTGTCCTGCTTGGACATCACTGTGAGATGAGAGCTCCTCACTGAGGCTAGAAGCCCAGTGGAAAGCCCAGCGACTGATCCCAGCCACGTATGATCCCCTTCGAGAGCCTGCCCAGAGAGCCACTTGGAGAAGTCGAGATGTGACCATGCACACAGCACTTTGGAGAACCAGATCCCTGCTGCTCCCTCCCCTCTCCAAGGCCTGGGCAGTTCCCAGGAGTCCTACATGGGCTCCAAGCCCTTTTGTCTACACCCTTACTCAGCCCCAATTTTTCTCCTCATGTCTGGTTTTCGTTAATGTACTAAGAACTCAAACGAGTCACTCCTGCAGTGTCTCGTCCCGCATCCATCCTGGTCAGTCCCGCTGGCACCTGTTGGGTTAGACGGGGCGAGAGGCAGGGGAGTTGGGTCCGTTGTTTTCAAGCTTTTTGTATTTTATTTTACATTTTTTTTATTATTGTTTTGTTTAACTCTTGCACCTTAATCTCTCACATCCCTTCTTTGACAGACCGCGAGGGTGGAGAGGGGCTTGATTTCCATTACGCAGTTCATGAATATGCCACAACGCAACGTTCAGCTGACAACTCTGCCCACGCGCCTAACCCCAGACCTCTCCGGGTTTGAAATTTTTTTCCCTCCTTCATTTGAACTCTGGGGAGGAAGGGAGTCATGTGGGGAGGGTCATTTTTGGTTTATATATCCCAGGAGCCTGGTAGCACAGACCAGTTAGCCTCATAGCGTCCGTGAGGCACAGCTGGCCCTTCGGACCACAGCCATAACCCCAGCATGGTGGGAAGGTGGTGGATGGATGGATGGATGGACGGCCGGTGGGTGGGAACGGCTGTGACAGTGCAATAGAGACGAGCATCAGCTGCTAGACACCTCCACTGATTAAACTCTTGGTTTGCCCGAAGTTGAGAGGGAAGGACAGATGGACAGACGCCCTTTGTTCACACGGATGGAGAGAGCTTCCCCACACGCAGCCCTACCTGGTGACACGTAACCACGATGGGAGTTGGGTCGAACTTGCAAAGGAAGAAAATAATAATAATAAAAAAGGAAAAAAAAAGAAATAAGAACAACCTCAGTAGCATGGAACTTGAAGGAAACGACTGAAACCCCAAGCACTTGCCTCAAAACTAGTTTCTCATGCGTGGTGTTCGGCTCTGTATTAATAATTTTACGGCATTCAGTATCGGTTGCCCAAACATGCCAAGTTAAGAGTGTATCGGTGGCTCTACTAGTGTGAACAAACTAAACGAAGCACTTTATTCTGTATAGATAAGGGAAGGCGGGGAGGGGAAGCTTGGATGCTTTTCGGAAGCGTCTTAAGTAATGTTCTAGAAAATGTATTATTATTATTATTATTATTATTATTATTACTTTTTTTTTTTAATGACCATGTGTAATCAATATATGTTTATCTTTAACTCCAAGTACAGCAGTTACTCTCTTTGGCATAGTGTGATGAGGGGGAGGCTGAGATGGTCGGGTTGGTCCATCAGCATGGGGCCACTGGGGAAAGTCATTGCCTACTGCAGGAACGGGCGAGTTGTGCTTCGTTGATGGCCCTGTTGGCCAATGTCCAAGAGGTCCCGATAGGTGCATCAAAGCTGCCTTCCAGGGCACAGCTCACAGTCGGTCTTGGCACCAAAGGCCCAACGTGCACCCTCATCGTGGGCCATCTTCTGCCTGGGGCTGCTCTCTGGGCCACCCATGAGCAAGACGAATCATGGTAGGCTGTTTTGGTTTGTCCCTAGAGGCCAGGTCCTTGGCCGTGCTTTGAAACCTGTTTTTGGCCTCTCACCAAGGCACATCAGGGGTCTCTGAGCTCTGAAAGTGGTGAGAGGTCAGAATTCGGCCTTTCCACTGCGTTCTCCCAGTCTGGAAGTGTTTATGACTGTTACCAAAGAGGTTGCAAGTGGAAGGACTGAATCAATAAACGATTTGTCTTTTATAAAAGAAAACCTACAGCTCCACCACTCTGTTACCTTAGTTTTTCTTTTTTTTTTTTTTTTAAAGGCTCTTTTCAAGCAATTGCATGAGGAGTCAGAGCCCAGCAGGATGGGCTTCCCGTGGCACGCTCTCCACTGCAGTTGCTTCATACACATAGACTTTATGTTGGGTTTGGTGTGAGGTGTGTGCATGTGTGTGAGACAACTGGAATGCTGTGGGGCCAACAAAAAATACCTTTTCAGGGAAGGATGATGAGTGAATAGGGGAAGGGGGCCAGGGCTTACAGCTCTGGAGGTGGTAGGGAAGGTGAGGACTGAGCTCCTGGGTCCTACTGGCTCCAGGAGATTTGTGTAAGCTACGAGCTGGTGCTCTCTGAGCTCCTCTGTAAGCAGAGGAGAAACCGAGCAGCCCATCCAAAAGCACCCAGTGCCTATATTGATTTTAAATGGGGTGGTGGGAACCTCACCAGATAACGTCAGCACTGACATTGGGAAGCTAATGGAAGAAGAGATGATTTTCCCCACCCTTGGGATGTACCTGCTCCTTTGCCGCTGGCATTGCCTGGAGAAGATAACCCGCAGGGGGACCTGTGCTGGTGGAGCTGTGTGCATCTGAGCTGGGAAAAGGCCAGGCAGCAGCAAGGAGTGATGCCTCTCTGAGTGTTCATGCTGGCACCTCCAATGCTGTGTTCAGTGTTGGGCCCCTCACTACAAGAAGGACGTTGAGGTGCTGGAGCGTGTCCAGAGAAGGGCAACGGAGCTGGTGAGGGGTCTGGAGCACAAGTCTGATGAGCGGCTGAGGGAACTGGAGTTGTTCAGTCTGGAGAAGAGGAGGCTGAGGGGAGCCCTCATCGCTCTCTACAACTACCTGAAAGGGGGTTGTGGTGAGGTGGGTGTTGGTCTCTTCTCCCAAGTAACCAGTGATAGGATGAGAGGAAATGGCCTCAAGTTGCGCCAGGGCAGGTTTAGACTGGAGATTAGGAAAAACTTCTGTACAGAGAGAGCAGTCAAGCATTGGCCCAGGCTGTCCAGGGAGGTGGTGGAGTCACCATCACTGGAGGTGTTCAAAAAATGTGTGGACATGGCACTTCAGGACATCGTTTAGTGGGCATGGTGGTGTTGGGTTGGTGGTTGGACTTGATGATCTTAAAGGTCTTTTCCAAACTTAATGATTCTGTGATTCTTTGTGGAGAAGAAATGGCCTCAAGTTGTACCAGGGGAGCTTTAGATTGGACATGAGGAAAAATTCTTCACTGAAAGGGTTGTCAAGCCCTGGAACAGGCTGCCCAGGGAAGTGGTGGAGTCACCATCCCTGGAGATATTTAAAAGACATGTAGATGTGGCATTTAGTGACACAGTGGTGGACTTGGCAGTGCTAGGTTAATGGTTGGACTTGATGATCTTAAAGGTCTCTTCCAACTGAAACGATTCTATGATCCTGTGATTCTTATCTATGATTGCCTTTGGACTGAAGCAGCCTCTTGGCGAAGTAGTGGTGAACATCTCTGGGCCAGACTTTTTGCTTGGCCATGTGCAACTTTGCTGCCTTCCTTGGGCCAGCGCTGGCTGGCATGCACTGAGATTTGGCCCTCATTGCTTAAGTGATGGGATATTTAAAGCTCTTCTGGGTCCTTTTATACAACAGCTATTTTTCCTATTATGGTTTCTTGCCCCGTGCCAGTGGTGGCATCTCCCACAGCTTTATAATGGATGTGAACCACAAGGGAGCACTAAGCTACTATTAACTGCATTCCCGATGGGCAGTTGTGAGGTGAGTGACCAAGGATGGGGACCAGTCTTAATCGCCTCTTCTCCAGCCATTATCAAGGGATCACATCATAAGAACTCTTCGAGGCTCAGCAACATTCCTGTTGACTTCAAAGGGCCCAGATTTCCCCCAGGAGAGCCAAGCAACGCGAGTGGATGGGGATTAACCCTCTCTTCGGACCAAGTGTTGACACCTCTCCATTCTGCATCCGGCAAGAAGAGCTGAAACAAAAGTGTTGGTGCTCAGTCCCAGGCAGGAGGTGGTATCCTGCCACCACAATAAATGACTTTAAAAAAATTATTATTCTACAGATGGACTGTTTTTTTCTTCTTCTTCCTTATTCTTTTCTGCCACAAGCTATTCTACATTTGGTAGATTCATCTTCAATCAGCTTGGGAGTCATCCATGGGAATTTCTGCAGAACTGGGTAGAAGGTGTTGGGTTTTTTTGCTATGCATTTTTCACACATTTGATTGTTTCAGAGGCTTTTGTTGCCTTTTTTTTAAAGCTATTTTGTGCCAGCCAGTCACCTTGGATTTATTTTTATTGTGAAAATGCTTCATTACTGTTCTGATGTAATTGTCCTCTAAGGAGATTATCCTGTAACTTTTAAAATCCTTTAAAACGAAACCAGGACAAGACTCTAGTTCCTTTACACATGCCAAATTGTCTTTCCTTCTAAAGATGTTTTAGTTTCTTCACAACTGCATTTTGAGCTAGATGAATCAGCCAGATACGATTTTTAATACCATAATTTTCATGCCGCTTTGAGGTCATTATTTTACAAGGTTTGTATTTGTTCTTTTTTATTATTGATTATCACCCCTGTTCATGGTATCATGAGATCATGTAGGCATCTAGCTTCCTTCGAGTCCTAGGTAAGCTCCTAGTCCTCATATTTCTGAAGAATAGCTGTAAGGATATAATGGCAAAGTTTCAGCTCCTGAATGGGGGAAAATAAGAAGGATAAAAGCTGGGGCTGTGCTAGGGCTCTCCATGGGGCTGGTTTGCTGCATGTGTTCACTGCAGCTTTTGCTTGGTCCTTGTGTTACAGTTACAGTTCTATCAACATGCAAACACATGTTGAAATAGTCTAATCATTTATTTTTAAATAAACCACTGGTCAGATAGTGTGAGCATCAGATTTTCGCTCTAGCAAATCTTTGTCCTGCTGCCAGTCCAGTCGTGTTTCTATCAAAACATTATTATGGATAACTTTAAAAAAAAAAAAAAAAAGCATTTTTCCTCAGTAAGAAGCTCTCTTTGAGCCAAACACATCCGAGATCTCCGTGTACTTGGCAAACTAGAATACTCTTTAAAAAAAAAGGTCAGAACATTAAAAATAAGAGAAATAGCATAAATATAAAACCTTTCCGTGAAAAACAGCACTTGTCCAACCATAGGTGAGGACATTGTGATCTGTGATTGAAGATGAGCAGCCCAAAAGACTGGAGATGAGTGCAGATGCCCCCCCCAACCATCTCTCCCCCACTTTCCTACCCTACTACTTGCATGACTCTTCCCCACCCACAGACCTTAGCTCCTGGCATCTCTTCAGTCCAAAGTCAAGGTGGAGGCAAGGAACTAAGACTACTTTCTTTTCATTACAACTTCCAAATTGTTTCTGCTGCCCAGGGTCACATCCCCTTTTCTTTTAACTGTTACGTTTCAACAACCCTCATCACCCAGGAATTCAATGAAGTCCCCCAGGTCTCCCTGTATCACTTGACTTTGACCCTTCCTTCTCCCCTCCAAGGTGGGCTCTAGCACCATGCTCATAGCTACGTTATGTGGGGAAATACTTTAGAGACCCTCTTCCCTGGGGAAACATCAGCTTAGTCCCTTGGCACCCACTTTCTGCCTCCACTGTTGGTTGGGGAGGTTCAACAGCAGTTGAGGAGGTAGGGAAAAAAGCATGGAGAAAGAAGGAGAACAAGAGTATGATCTTTTTGTCCTCTCTACTGAGACTGGAACAGCTCATTGCTCCATGCTTCTCAGTCTACCCCAGAGCTTGCAGGCTCCAGATCCCTTATCTAGTTATCTTGTGAGCATCTTCAAGTTCCCATAGAGCTTCAGGATCATTTCCTCCCTTTCCCATTTGACTAAATGGTACCAGTCACAGATGCAATGTCCTACACAGTATTCAGATGCCACGTCTCTGCACCGATAAGCGTGGCCTCTCCTCCCCCCATCCCTCTTTGCCCCAGACCCTCATGGAAAAAAAAGTAAATCACGCCTTGCTACATTTTTGTTAGGCGCAAAACATTGAGGCGCACGGGAAGGAATGTGGCACCGGAGGCGTACTGGATCTCCCGGAGGACCCCTTCCCACTTCTTCTGCTCTTCATCATATCTGAGGAGAGACAGACAGACAGTTATGGTGAGGAAAGCGTCTCCTCTCCCTCGCTTCAGCTGCCCTCCATAGCGGTGGGAGCCCTGATGCGTGGTGTGATGTCCCACAGATGTTATTTGGCCACAAGATTTCTGTGGGATCTGCACGGAGACTTTCAGCCCTGGTGTGCTCTGGTTTGCAGTGCCCAGCTAGGGCACATGGATATCAGCACATGGTCTTGCAGGGAAGAGTGTGTTTTTCCACTGGGAAATGGGTTGATGTCACTAAGACTGAACATCCATGGTGAAGGCCAGCAGATGCCTGCTGAGGGTGCTCTAGAGCCACAGACGTGAAGGACAGGAGCAGCTAAAGCTGTATTAGCAGCCGTCAGAAAGTGCTTTCTGCCCACTTCTCTGCTCCCAAGTAAGACTATGATTTCCAGCCCGAGCACTGGCTTTTCCCAGGAAGAGCATGCCTTGCACAAACACTGCTTCACGCCAAAGGGGAGGTCTGGAACCAGCTCCAAGCAAAATGTCAATGCAGCAGCAAAGCTAAAGGAGCAGATTTCCCCCGGTACGTTGCTATATGAGGCTGGGAGAGATCACTGAATCACCTTACACGCCCTCCAGCACAGCACAGGGCAAACTTCTCACCCAGAGGCCTGCAGCCTTGTGCTGGGCTAACAACATCCATCTCACTGGAGGCATCAAGAAAGACAGAAACTATCTATCTGTTCTGTCAGTGGCTCTCACTAACACCCCTCCCATGCTCCCTTGGGCAGCCCTGGGGAAGATGATTGTCACCTCCAAACGTCGTTCAGCTCCGTTGGCACCAACTCTCCCGACTCGGTCTCCACCGTGGCAAACCCTCCAAGCAGGTAGAGCACCCCAGCCAAGCTCACCAGGCTGACCGAGCTGCGCTCCTGTGGGAACTCGGTGAACGTGTCCCACCTGTCATGTCAAGAGAGGGAACGTTAGGGCACCCTGCCTGCCTTTGCGCTGACCTTGAATTGGGAATCAACAACTGAATTGACTAGTGACAGATTAATTTGTGTAGGTCTACATGGGATGGGATCGTACATTGACTGTTGTTAGAGATACCTGTTTCCATCATCATAGTTCAACTTCATTTTGCATTGCGTAGAGGAGCTGTGAAGTACACCTGGCATAGACCAGCAGATCCCAGCAGTGGGACTGCAGCTGCAAGGCCCACACAAAGTCAAAGAGTCTATTGTGTTGGGCGAAGCTGCCAAGATGAAGCTACAGCCCTGCAGCGAACCCAAGGGCTGCACCAGTTGGTGAAACTGCTTTGAAGGTGAACCTGAGATGATCCACAGCCCAAACTCAGTGGCACTGGTAATGCCCAGCTGCCCAAGGAATACAGGCTGGGAGGAACTGATATTGGGAGTTTCAAGCAAACTCCAGAATAGTTGTAAGTTGCTGTATTGGTTTCAGCTGGGAATTTTCTTCATGGAAGCTAGTATTGAGGCTGTGTTTTGGATTTGGGATGAAAATAATGTTGATAACGTACGGACATTTTCGGTTGTTGCTAATTAGTCAAGGACAGTCCAGCTTCACATGCCAGCCTGCCAGTGAGGAGGCTGGGGGTGCACGTGAAGCGGGGAGGGGACACAGCTGGGACAGCTGACCCTGACTGACCAAAGGGATGTTCCATACCGTACGACGTCATGCTCAGCGTATAAAGCTGGGGAAGAAGAAGGAAGGGGGGAACAGTCGGAATTATGGCAATTGTCTTCCAAGTCACCGTTACGTGTGACGGAGCCCTGCTCTCCTGGAGATGGCTGAACCCCCGCCTGCCCATGGGGAGTGGGGAATGGATTCCTTGTTTTGCTTTGCTTGCGTGCGCGGCTTTTGCTTTCCCTGTTAAACCGTCTTTATGTCATCCCACGAGTTTTCTCGCTTTTTCCCTTCCGATTCTCTCCCCCGTCCCACCGTGGGGGAGTGAGCGAGCGGCCACTACAGATGCTTAATGTACACCTGCAGCTGCCCCATGTGTAACTATGGCCTGAAGGTGTGCTCAGGTACGTACTTGTTGGTGGCAATGTCATAGACTTCCACCGAGTTGGTCAAGCCGGAGTCAGTCACACCAGCCGCCACGTAGATTTTGTCTTTGTGCACAGTGGCTCCAAACAGGGACCGGGCAGTTTTCATGGGAGCCAGCTCCTTCCACTCAAACTTGGATGGGTTGTAGACACACATCTTCTTCAGGCACTTCCTAAAGAAAGATGAGAGAGAGAGAAGGAGCCTCGATCGCCTGCTGAGGGGCAGCTTTGCTCGGCAGGAGTTGGGGGATGTCTGCTGGGAAGAACATGGGGTCTCTAGAAAGGATTTTGCTCCTCCACATCGACATGAGTGCCTTTGCTTGGGCGTGCACCCAGAGACGCCCGTGCCTGGAGGCATCATTTGTGTGTATAACGCATCCCCTCCTGGTGTGCCCGCTTTGGGTGAGGGTCTTAAAAGCTCGACGTTGTGTTCACACAGCTGGACAGGGTCCCGTGCAGCTAACGGCCGCTCAGGACCTCGCACACAGCCGTCAGGTGCTGCTGACCCAACTTGACCCCGTGAACTATCATCAGTAACGCCCCCGTTCCCCGGGACAGCGATGTAAGGTGCATGAATGCATGCACGCTCACACTTTTCAGACCATAATCCTTTCAGCGCAGGACCTGTCTTTGCTGGATTATTGCATGGTTGCTCTGCAAACAGCCACATTTCTGGCTTCCAAAGAAATCACTGCAACGCTCCCCAAGAGAGGCGTTTTCTGCTGAGCTCATCTGCTGCAGGAGGGCAGGATGGGGGTCAGGGTTGGTGAAGTTTTTCACCCCTATTGCAAATACCCATCTGTATTGACTACTAGGACCATGCTGCTCCACAACAAGTCCAAGGCAGAAGACCCTCAGCATGAAGGGGCTTCTTGCTCTTCAGGGCCTCTCCCAGTCTGTGTGACATTTATTTATTGTGAGCAAAGGGGATGATATGTTCCCTCTCCTGCGAGGACAGTGCCATCTCCCTGATGTTCCTGTAGGGATCCTAACAGCTCGAGAAGGGCTGCAGCAGCTCATTTGAGCTGAGAGGGAAGGATCCACAGCTCACACCTCATCCAACCCTCCTTAACCCATAGCATCCAGGTTGGGGAGGTACTAACTCATGCTTTCTGCACTCCCACTAGTTTGGGGGATGGCTCCCTGTATTTTTCTTGCTTTTTTACTTACTTGTCGCTTCCTTTGCCACCGATGATGTAGACAAGGTCCTTGTGTGATACCACCGCGTGGCCATAGACTGCGTAGGGAAGGGAATCGGCTTCACCCCACTTGAAGGACCTGGATCAGAGAAAGATGGGAAGCAAAAGGGTTTGTAGCTTGCTGGGTGAGGCCTAGAGTACATGGCACTTTCCAGGTCTAGAGGCTAGCACAGATCCTGACTCAATCCCAAAAATATGAGCTTTTCAATGAGATAGGGCTCATCCAGTAAATTTCATGATCCTAAAATAAAAGGGAAAATAAAATAGCAGAATGTCTATGTTAATATTCATTCTTTTCTGCAGCATCCCCTACTCTTGGGCTTTGTGGATACACATCTCCACTTCTCCCAGGATCCCACCTCATTTACAAACATTACCAGCTAGACACAGACAAGACAGAGATTTCTGAATTATGTAAAAAATTAAAACAAACGTGATGTAGGAGTGCAAGATCATGAGGACAAGTTTCTTTTTCGGCCATTGCCTTCCATTTTGAGGTTCAATGGTTGGCCAACCCTCAACAAGGACCCACGGGGCAGGGTATGTCCACATTTTGCAGTGCAGGGCTGTGTTGAGGGCTCTGAGCTAGCTCTAGGACACTTGAGCAGACGTTGTAGCTATAAGGCTTTGGAAACCTCAAACTGGTACCCAAATAGGGCTGACCAATTTCTCAAGAGATGTCTGGTCATGTCCACATAGCTTAGACTCATCCCCAGTTTTCATACGTGTAGGATGAAAGACCTGCACTTTATTTTACCTAAGAACTGAGATGCCTGGACTCTGAGTGTTTTCTAACTGCCCAACCACTCTGGGCAAGTATTTGATCCCATAGACCAGCAGTTTGTCCTCTCCAGGATTGTTACGGTTGAAATCTTGACCTAAATAATACTAGAAATGTAGGTGGTGCTGATCACATCTCTACCAGCTTCAAATCAGTGTTCAAAGCACCCCCTGAGCACTTACTGGGGGAAGACACAGCCTTTCCCAGAGTGTGCAGGGGCAGATAAATGCCTCATTCTGTGGGAATGAAACTGCTTTCAAATCTCTGCCTATAAAACAGACTGAAGGGTACACACATCCAAATATAGACCAAGCAAAGGCTTGTTAATGCCGACTGTTCTGCCTCTTTGGGGCAGAGAGGAGCAGCCTTTGGATGTTTCTGCCTCCTGCGTGCAGAATGGGATGGTGTCATTTAATAAAGTTCATGACATAACATGGGTCAGAGCCCATTGTGCAAAAATAATTGTATATTAAGCCTGATATGTCGAAGGGTGGCATTCAGTGCCACATCTGAATACTTTCAAAGCAAACTTTCCCATCCAAAACCATTTCTGGTGAGACCATGGTGAAGGTCACTACAGCTCCAAACCGATAGGCAAGAGCAGAAGGAAAAAAACCCTTGCTCCTCTGTACAGGTCCCATGTGAACATCTGCTAAGTTCAGTCCCTGATAACATAATATTCCCATTACGGCTGCCATCTCCTGGAGATTCAATTACAATAAATGAAGCAGCTGGAGAGAGACAGCTCAGAGCCTCAGGGTAGAGCTTGAGACAGTCCCTGTGCTCCCAGCATCTAGATGCAGTGTTTGAGCCCTGTCTCCAAAACCTTCTGGTCCCTGGAGAGCTGGGGTCATTTTCCATGGCAGCTGCTTTGCCTTCTCCTGTCAACCACCTCCCGCCCCGCGCTCACACGTGGATACTTACAGCCGGTCATAGCACAGGACCGAATCCAAGGTCTTTTCTCCCTCTTTCAGTTCTTTCCCTCCGACCACAAAAATAGAGTTTTCCGCCTCTCCCAGGCCAAAGAGGCAGCGAGGGGAGGGCAGGGGCGGCATCCCCAGCCAGTCTGCGTCCAGATGGTCGTACTGGAAGAAAACACATGGTCATTAGTGTATGACCACCTGAACCATTTGCTTAGCAAAAATCAGGGTCCAGAGGCTAAGGGCAAAGTCCATTCCCATGTGCAGCTTGGTCACCCCAGTAGGCGCTTTCTGCTCTCTGCCTGTGCCTTGCCATCTGGTGCAGGACGGGGGATCTCAGTGCACATCCAAGTCATATATCATATGACATATGTTTCCTGACAAGTCATAAGAGCAGAGATGCACCAGCATGAATATTTTCTGCTCTGTGTACCAAAGACTTGACTTGGAACCAGCTTGGTTGCCTTCGGGTGTGAGAGTCCCATGTTGGACCTATAACAGACAGCCCCTGGGACTGGAGGAGCTGAAGCACTTCAATCTTAGAATTTTTGCCTGAACGTCTTCAGCTGTAGCACACACCACAGCATCTCATCCTAATATTTTCAATCTCTACCAGGCAACGGCATGGTGTTGGTAATGTTGACTACACAACAGACTCCCCTGAGCCCCTTCTTCTCCAACCGATTCTTCTTCTTTCTGGCAAATGATCAGTTACCGTGTCCCTCTGCTTCTCAAGACACTGATGTTGTCCTGTGTCACCTCAGTGTGTGTGTAAGAGTTCGTGAGATGAAACGTACGTGTGTCTACCTGCACAAAGGCTATTTACACAATCCACGCTTATCTACCTGGTGTGGCACAACACAACTGAGATGGTGCTGCAAAACTCAGAGCTCTTTTTGCTGACCAAAGTGTGCCAGACACCCCACCATCTGACAGGTGGGGAAACTGATCCATACAGCGCTACTTGATCAGATGGCCAAATCCTCGCATATCCTTGGACATCTGTGGATCAAGGCATTGCCTCATCTCCCACCAGAAAAAAAAAAAAGTGGAAGGTTATGAGGCTGGGGGTTCTCTAGGCACCATGGCTTGATGGGAACTCTAAACTGGGGCAAAAATTTTTAATGTAGCTTGGTAGCAGAGGAAGGACTTCATGGGTTAAGTGTGGAGTGATATCTTGCAGCCCGTTTCATGGGTCTCTGCAAGATGAAGCTGTGATGCAGCATTGCCTGAAGCCCTGTTTGCTGTGGGCTCGGGCCAGAGAATTTCAGCTTGCTGGGTTGCCTCCAAAGACTTGGCCTCAGCTGGGTGCCTGTGGTTATTGTCTCTTTGTTAGCTGTGGTCCACATATGTGTTATTTATAGCGCAAGCCCGAGCAGCTCAGTCACCAGGATAGTTCCTGCTTCTTGATGGATTCAGCATTGTTTTCAAATCATAAATCTTAGAAGTGACAAATAAAGGATACCCTTTTCCATCTGAAATGTCAATGGAATAATTTTGTTCCTGCCAAAATTTGAAAGGCCTCTAGGGTTTATCATCATTTATATATTGTGGTGCCTGTCCTGAAGTCTAAACTATCCCTGACCTAACTCTCCTTCAGCCGGAGGCACATGAAATCAAGGAGGCCAGAAAGAGAGTCAGAAGGTGTAAGATGCTGCTGCACTGACACAGTGATTCAAGGGTCCCTCATACAGCTGCCTGTCTACATCTGTGTGAAGTTTCAGCTGAAAAAGGCTCAGAACACTCTTTTATTCATATGGGAAGCTACATGATGGCACTGATGACAATGAATGACACCTTTGCAAACTGACGGCACCTTCCAGCCCTGGGACTTGTCTGCACTTCCCATGCAGGAGTGCTGCAGCAAGCTGTGAAAGGACCACTGTCCTCTACTTGTGGGGAAGGAGCTAAAAATGGCCACATGATGCCATGTGCCAAATGGCCACTGAGTCAGTGCAAAGTGGGAGCTGAATATAGGAACCTTGCTGTTTGCAGCTTATACTCACAGAGTATATACTTCACTTTAGGCTGAAGGGACCTCCAAAGGTCTTTCATCCAGCTCTCCCTCTACTCAAGCAGTGCAGCTTTGGAGTTACAGCAGGTTGCCAGGGCTTTGTGCGGTCAAATATTAAATATCTCCAAGGATGGAGGTTTTGTGACATCTCTGGACCGCTGCTCCAGTACTCCAGCATCTCCATTGGGAAGGTTTTCCTCACAACTAACTGAAATGTCCTTTACTGTAACTCCTGGCTATTGCTTCTTGTTCCATCTTTGTGCAAATCCAAGAAGAATCTGGATTCCTCTTCTGTGTCCCCTCCTGTTAGGGAGCTGCAAGCACCAATAGATCTTCCCTTCCTCTTCTCCAGGCTGATCAGACACAGCTCAGCCTCTCCTAGTACCTCCTGTTCTCCAGCTCTGACCAGCTTGGTGACCTCTGCTACACTCATTCCAGTACCTCAATGTCTCCCTTGTACTGGAAAGACCCAGATGGGACACAGCATCCAGATGTGGTCTCACAAGTGTACGATCAAAGGGAAGGAAAAATCACTTCCCTTGACCTGCTTGCTGCAGTCGTGCTGAAACAGCCCAGGACATGGTGGATCTTCACTGCTGCTCAAGGAATTACCTTGCCTGGACAACAACCAGACTGGTGGAGCATTGATCTTTAGGCATAGATTTTGGCTGAATACGAAGCAGCCTGTCTACCTGCTCTGCACAGCTAAGTGATGGAGCTGGCCAGCTCGCTGTGGTCATCTGTTGTCCAGTGCGAAGGGCTGTATCTCAAACAGCGTGTCCCTCGGCTCTCCCACTGCCTTCCCCCTCCATCCTGCTTTCTAGGGCTGTGGTTTCTTCTTGCTGACTTCTCACTTCATGGTCTTCGTGTGGGCTGCATAAGCTCCAAAGCCTGACCCTTTCCAGGTGAGGACAAGCGTGGTCCCTGCACACGTGATGCAGATGTACAGCCCTACCCATGCAACGAGGCAATGGAGGAATCAAGGCTGTATGTCTTGGCTTGGGAACTACCCTTACTTATCCTTTCTGCCCAGACAGGTTATTGTTTCTTCCCAGAAGATAGGTGAGCCATGGGAGAAGAAAAAAAGGATTTCTGGGTATGAGGGGGAAGGACAGAGGACTTACTGGATTCCTACAGGGTCAGCAGGAAGGGCAGGAGCCTTGCGTTAGCTGTCTAAACTGAAGCTGCTCTTGGGTTACAGCTCAGGCTGGGGCTCGGATTGCCTGCGCACTGCTTGATCTGATCACGGCTTTGGGTACTGCTGAGTTAGAACAGCCACTTCTCTTGTGTAGGATTCCAAAAGACGCCACACCACAGTTTCCCCCGCACATGATAGAAATGGCCAAGGCAGAGACTGAGCTGGAAGTAGCACAGCTCCAGGGGCAAGAGCAGCACTGGATATGGGGCACGTATTGGTAGGTAGGGACATACCTCGCGTCCTTGGGGTGTTTGCTCTGTGGCCGTAGCTGCTGCTGCTCCTTTGTTTGGCACCTGGCAAAGTCACCCCTGGGTTTTGCTGGGGTTTCATAACCAGGGAACATAAAGGATGTGAGGCAGGACCCAGACCTGATGCCACAAACCTTCCAGTTACTGTGCCCTATGGCAGTCAGGGCTGGACAAAATAAATACACAGTTCAAAGTGGTCCCCTATTCAGGATTTGGATCAGGAAGGCTTATTCCTATTCCTACTCCTTCAAACCTTCTTCCTCAAATACCAGAACCCCCCCTCAGTGGGATCTACCTTAAAAATAGAGGGAGAAGAATCCCTAGTAAAACAACACAGATGTCTCACCTTCATTTACAACTTTCGTTTTAACATCACATGACAATGAACCTTACTGGCATCACATGGAAGCTAAAGACTGGTGATGCTCCAGAGTGGTCAAAGAAACAAAATAAAGGTAAAGCTAGTACCTGTAGGAAGTAGGAACTCATGGGATCCTCTTTGCTGTCCTCGTTGTAGTATAGTCCTCCAACAATGAAGATCTGATTCTCTTTGGTCACCAGACTGATGTGGTTCTTTGGGATTTGAGCAGACAGGGAGGCAAAATAACACTCGTTGGCAGTGGGATCATAGGCCACTGCTCCACTGTCGCTCACCATGAAAATAAGGTCCTGGAGGAACATCCCAAAGCGCATTGTGTCATTTAAGATCCCTGGGAGAGCATCCTCCTCTGTATCTTCCTCCTCATCTACTGCTCCATTGACAACATTGTCTTTTACTTGCTTTTCACTGCTTTTCTTCACTTTCTTCTTCTTCTTCACCACTGTGAATTTGCCTTTCTGGGCATCCTTCACCATCTGCAGTTTCTTGAGCAGCTCTGGGCTGGACTTCACCATGGCGTGCTTCTCCACGTGGTCCTTGATGTAGTCATTGGGCATGAGGCGGAACCGGATGCTTTCAAAGATGACAGGCAAGGCCTTCTGACGGCTCTCATGGTCCTTGGTCCCCACCCACTTCATCACTACTTCGAAGACGGTCTCCTCTTTCTCAATGTTGAGGGAGTCACTGGAGATGATTGCAATAAGCTCATCAGGGGAGAGCTGGTAGAATTCCTCATCCCGAGAGACCAGCACAAAGCGATCGCAAATGAAATCCCGAGCCGCGACGGCCAACCGGGCACAATCAAGCATCAAGCCCAGCCTGAAGATAGCCAAGCAGTTGCTGAGGCAGAGCCGCTTCTGCAAGAACGACACGCAGACGGTGAAGATGGAGGGGATCTGGAACATGTTGGCCACAGAGAAGATGTCCTGCACATTCTGCTCTGTGATCTCCAGCTCGGAGGTGTAGATATAATGGAGAATCTTGCCCATGACATCTGGATCAACATCTTCCAAACTGACCTCCCTCTTCTTGCTCTCTTCCATGTCTGAGAGGAACATCGCTCGAAAATATGGGCTGCAAGCTGCCAGCACCAGCCGATGGCAGGGAAACTCCTTCCCCTTAACTTTTAAGACACAGTCCAGAAACTTATTGTGGTCCAACATGTCTTTGAGTCCATCCTGGAGAAGAGTTTGCTGGTAGAGACGCAATTCTTCCACTTGATCAAAAGGCAAACCCATGGTGAAGAGTAACTGCTCCTTTTTTTCCACAGTCCTTTTATAAATATATATACTTATGAATATATCTATACCTGAGCCCCTCGTAAGGAAACTTAGTCAAAGCAGGCTCGCAGTTCTCCCTTGCTTCCAGACCGTCAGCACATTGGGAATGTGAAACGCTTGCTACTACCGCAGCTGTCTGTGTACTTCTGTTTCCAGCGTAGGGCTTTATATAGAGCCACAGCGTTACAAAGCTTAAGGAATCCATACTGGAGCATGTGTAAGCCGATCGCCCTTTAATATGACACATTGGACAAGGAGGAAGGGAGGGGGTGGGGGGAACAGCTGTAATTCCAGACTCGATGCTTCAGGAAGGGTCTGTCAGCCCATGAGTCACCGCGGGGGGAGCGGGAGCTTTTGCTGCCATGCCATGACGGGAGACGCGTCCGACCCATCGGCTCAGCCGCTGAGCTTGGGAAACAGCCTCCAGATGAATCAAACATCCGAATCTGCCTTCTGGGTCATGAATGGCAAGGCTGAGACCTTCTCCCGACACCGCTAAACCGACTGCTCCGAAACTGCTG